GAGGCTTCTTATTTTTCTGAGGGATGGTCCAGTTCACTCTGAAGCCACCAGCATGCAGCAGAGGAGTGTTGGTCTGTTGGTCATCACCCTGACATGTAAAAATGACCTTATTGACAGGTAGGGTTTGGACATTTGCTTCTCACACTGAGGTGAAGATCCCTGTGGGATCATTTATCCCAGAGGCATAAACGTACCACTTCAAGCTCTACTGGAAAGGTCTAGATCTCAATTTGAGCTTTACTGTTCACTTCATTTCAATTCATTTATTCAGCAGCAGTTTCCTACCTGTTGTGATATGAAAACAAGTGGACGAATACTTCTTTTTTTACCTGCTTTCTGTTTCCTCCTCCACCTTTTGCTCCTCTGAGCCCTAAAACAATATTTAGCAGCTTTTTAAATTCCACAAACATTCTGCAGCTTCTTTTCAATGACACGGTAACCACTGACCACTTAATTACAGGGCAATGACTGTGCTGTGGTGTGGCTGGGTAATTACAGGGCTTTTGTGGTTTATCATAACAGGGTTATTCCTCTCCCCTCGATGGCAGGACAGGTTACCCTTTAGGATCTTCTGAAGTTAATTGCATGCTAATCCACATCAGGTTACTAACACTCTACTGTTATGTGTCTGGACCCTTGAGGCCTGCAGATTTCTCTATTTGTTTGTTTTTATTATACAGTACTGGACAAGCTAAATGGCTGTGCAGTTCATGGAAAGATTGCTAACCTTCTGTACGTGGAGATCCCATGTGTTGCCCAGCCCTCAACATGAGCATAATATCCTTTGTCCCCAGCATCACAGGACTGTCTTGCATTGCTCCTTGTACCCCCTGGGGGAAGCCTGGAGCAGGGTACTGCAAGTATTACTCTTGTCAGTACAATTTATTATCCAATAGTCTGTCTTGATGGTCTTCAGATGTTAATTCTCCACTTTGCTTCATGCCTTGGAACATGCTCTGTGACCCAGAGAGCTCTCTGGGGGACTCAAGTGTGCTTGCAGGGAATAATGCATGCAGTAACTAAACATCTTAACAACTTCTTGGGCAATTTCAAGTCATTGTGAGCACCGGGCCAGTTTTCACAACTATTTGCTAAGGCTTTTATCTTTCTTAATCATCCCTTAAATCTACAGTCAAGTGTGAGCTATTTTGTCTTGAAGTATTGCCCATAGAATATTATTTTAGATTAAATGTTTTTGTTCATCTTTTGAAACAGGTTATACAGAAAAAAACATAGATAGGGATCAAGTAAGTGTAGGACTTTTTCTGATGATGAGAAAAAGAATGCACCGCAAGGTTTGTGACAGTGGGTCCACAGAAAACCCACCCTACTGGAGCTCCTAAATCCAACTGGGTTTTCTCTTTCACTCCACTTCATCTGACTGTCAACCTTTTGGGGACTTGAGTGAAGGTCCATGCATCACTTGACTCTTCAGCAAGCCCTGCTCTGAGCAGCCGGGCGCTACCAATATGGGTGATGGTGTCTGGCCTGAATCCCACACAGATGTGCTGCAGCTGAAATGAAGAGTGTGAAAATGAATAATTTTTGTCATCTCTTTCAACTTTTTCCCTTTTTCCCTTCCTCATCTCTCCCATGCATACCGCCTTTCTCTCTTGAACAGCCTTCTGTCATGCGCGCAGTAGTTTGGTGTTTGAACACTACTAAACTAGGGTCCAGTCTCCTGTAAGATCAGCACAGAAAAGACTATCTTACCTTTTAGGTACAAGAAATAATGTAAACACTGCAAAATACTGCATTAAAGAAGCCAGTAGATACTGATTCCTTAACACTGATGGCTATTTAAGTCCAACTTTTTCAGAAAGGTTCAGCGGGCACATATGGAATGAAATTTTCCATGAAAACATCCTCATTACAAATAGTTTGGGGATTCTGACAGCAGTTCAGGGTGCTCAGCCCTTCCTCCTTGCCATAGCCAGGGAGCATGTGTGGAGTTCAGGCAGAGGCTGATGATGTGAGAAGAATAGTACACCCATATCCTCAGCCTAGTGCTGCCTCACTGTAGTTTGTGTGGTAGCCTCTGAATTTATTGCTTCCAATGGAGCTTGTCTGTGAAAGTTGGAGAGTACTCTGCACTCTGCCAGCGCTGCTGGCATGGGTCAGTTTGTCTCTACAGATAGGATTAATCCATTTAATTTTAGTTATCCCAAAGGTTCCTTCTGCCATGAGACTCCTGCAATACACCTCCACATTGCAGCCACCTCTGTCAGTGTGCAGTGAATCACTGCCTGGAGGAGCTGGAGGACTTACCTAGATCTTATGCTTCCTTCTGTATTGTTAAATGTCACAGCGTGGACTGTTGCTCAAAGGTTTCTAGGCATCCCCAGCAGCCAAACAGACTGCCAGTCTTACTGGGAGGGTGAGTAAAATGCAGGTTGACCGGACTGTTGCAGGACACAATGGAGGTGCTACACATCGTGCTGAGCATCTTCTCCACGTAGGAGCAAATATAAACCAAAGCTTTTAAAGATGTAGTACTTTTCCTGATCAACCTCTTAAAAAGCAAAGAAGACTTCTTTCAAGCATGGTAGTCAGAAATATCTCCAGACCAAAATAAAACTGTTGTCTCTAGGAGAACTTTCAATTTCTCAAATATGTTTGCTACCAAGCAGTATACTGTTGGTATAAAATAGGCACACTCTATGTGGTAAGCCATTGTTGTGAAGGTGATACCCTTCTGCTGGTTGCAGAATGATTATCCTTTGAAGCCATGTTTTACCAGAGCTGGGGTCACCTCATTAGCCTCTTGATTGTAAATTGTTGACTAATTTTGAACAGACTCTTCTTTAGAGAAGAGAAAAAGCCTCCAGACGCCAGTGTGCTCTTGAAGTGTCTCCTCCTTCACTGTCCCAGCACAGAAGGCAATACCTGCCCACGATGGGAGGAACTCCTGAGAAGGGGAAAGGGAGAGTGGCTCCCTATTCAATGTGTTCAGTTATGAGTAATAGAGAAGCAATGTCCATAGCTTGAAATGATAATAGCTGTGGACATCAGATGCAGAAGCTTAGGCTGGGGTAAGAATTCCTTTATTTGTAAAGCTACTGTTTTCTTCCCTACTCAGGGAAACTGTAGCTAAGATCCAATGAGCCACCTGTCTGTATCTGCTCCAGGGGTTTGGGGAGCCAAAAGAAACTGCAGCTGTAATGTGAGAGTGACAGTGGGAAGGTGAAAGTCCCTCAGGTTCTTCCCACCACCTCTGTTTGCATCAGCATTTCTGAGTTTGCAAAGAAAATCATGGAAGTGTTTCGAATTGCATCCATTTGTATCTGCAGAAGTTGCAGTAAATCCTGGAACAGGGAGGAAATGTGGCAGTATAAGCAGTGTGCAGCTTAAGGTGGATCGATAGTGTAGCCATACTGATGAAATTTAACGTGTCTTTACGTGCATTTGTCATAGTGTCAGGTGAAACTGTGTGTGTGTAATGGCAGCATGCCTTGGGAATAGGTCAAGGCTAGATGTGACAATCAAGAGGTTTAGGCTGGGTGTATTCTGTCCAGTTCTCTGCTGCCCACCACATTGCATCTATGTCACTGCAGCTTGTACAAAGTGACTGTGAAACGCATGTTAGAGCTTGCCATTTTTTTGCACAATTGTGAGATGTGAAGCAGAGAGCAGCCAGGTTTTGCGGCCTTGAAATTACACAAAATTTGAACAAAACCCAACCCCAACCAACTTCCAAACCCTCCAAACCCCCCAAGCATCAGCATTGATCTGAAGAGAAGAACCTGCTTTAGAAAATGTGTTTATGTGTTCCATAACTATTAGTGCTGATTTCCCCCCGCCTAAATTTTGAACAGCATTGCAAAAGAAAGCCAGTATTTTTGTGCAGCAAAAAAAAAAAAGCAGTTCCTATGGAAAATGTAGTAAATAAATCTGGACATCTCCAAGCTGCAAATAATCTTGTGTGTATGGTGATTGGAAACAGCAATGGTAAGTACGGAGAACTTTCATGTTTACGTAAGAAAAACTGTCTTTAGTTGAGGCCTGTACCAGGACAATTAGTAAAATTTAGGATACCTGTTTTGGATGACTGTATGTTGATTCATTATGTAAACTACTTTGCTTAGCACTGTCTCTGCAAGACAAACTGCAATCCTGTAATGAATATTAATCTGAAAGCAGATGCTCCTGTTTGTGCTTTTTTCAGCATGTTTGTTGTTTCCAAAACAATGCAGAACCACAGCAGAAGTGAAACGTGGAAGATCACAGACTTGAGGGAAACTTCCAGTGCAATTTGCACTTTTAGATCTGCAAGGGATTCGTTGCCTGCGCCAGGCGATGAGTCACTTGCAGCATCAGTGGTTCAGCTGCAGAACTGTACCATCAGGAACAGTGCTCACACAACTGACAGGCCATCAGGTGATTCACAGGCACTGCTGCCAGATGATGCTGTGCATCCGAGACCAGACTCGAGGTGATGGGCAGCAGAAATGTGCTGGCAGGTCTCAGGGCCTGTACAAGTGCCCACACATCTGTCTGCACAGCGCCCTGCTTTGATGCGCAGGTCCCAGGCAGAGATGGGCATGTGAAACCACGCAGGGTTTATTTTGCCTGTAGAAAGTGAGTGAATGATTTGTACCAGGTTCATGCAGTCGCTGTGTGTTTTGACCTGTCAGGAGTTGTTTCAGAACAAGTGTACCTTTTTTTTTCCTTTCAATTTTTTTCCCCCCTGCCTAAACTGTGAATTCCATATCAGGTACTAACAAACATGGCTCATCTCAGAAGAATTCATAATTAACTAAAAGAATTCATAATTAACTTCCACTGCAATTTGTTTGGGTCTTCCTTTACATTAGATATAAGCTCTGGTGGGGATTTGAAATGCTCTGAAGCATACACTGTCTTTCGTGTAACTGCTGCTGAGCCTACAGAAAGCTAACCTGCTCTAACTGCACAGCGTGTGTGTTTGCATATTAGAGTTCTCTGACAGACCTGTTTTTCTTTTTCTCTTTCTCTTCCTTGTCTTCTTTCTGCATTGGCAGAGCATCTTGGATTTGAATTAAAGGGTATGGACCAACCATTCATTTATTAATCAGAAGCCATTAAAAGCTGCCCACATTATATTTATGGCTTTAATGGGATGATTAAAAAATCAGCTCTTCTGTTCTCTTCCCTGGCACCACGAGAGATGTTTGGTTTGAAAAAACCCCAACAAACCAACCAAAACCAACCACAAAATCTAAATGTAAACCTATAAAAATACACGTGTATCTTTAGCAGCACTCTTTTCTTTGTTTTAAGCAGCAGGCTGGTGCGTGTTCCATGACTGGGGTGTTATAATGGCCGTACGTCTCCCCATTCAACATGCTTTTCTGTATTTAACTGAAGAGTTGGAGTTTGTGACCATCCCAGAGGTTGCCAGCAGGCACCACTTGGGAATGGGCAGGCATTCCAGGAAGGTGGGTTTTAGAAAGATCAAGGTTTTTATAGAAATTACCACCCTGGATGCACTAACCTCCACTGGATCCTATGAGGGTCACAATGAGCTTTGCTGTTTTTTCTCCCAAAGGTTAGTGGCTTATTTTGGTTCTTGACCAGGAGAAAATTATTCCAAGAAAGATGACATGAGATGGGCTAGTATAGAACACAGTGAGCTCAGGGAGGTCAGTAGTCTCCCATGAGAGTGGGGGGTGTCATTCTGAGCATCATGCTGGCAAGCTGAAGTTTGGAAAAATGCCGCAGTGTTTTAAAGGCTTTTAAAAATATCCCCTTTGGGCAATTACCTGCTCCTGCCCAAGTGCTCATAATCATATTATTTTTCTTCCATTCTCCTCAGTCTGTTTTTAGAAATACATCAAGAATTTCTTGAGTAAGCACCTGGGAAATCAGATTATTGAGGGTAGGTTTCCCTTGAGTGTACAAGCCAATCATGGGGAGGCTGGTCAGATGAGAGCAAAGAGATTCATCATTTAACTTAAAAACACTGACCTGGCAGTGCCAGCCAAAGCAGATCTCCACGTGAAGATGCTACAATTCCATTTACTAGAGGTATGGGGACACCAGTCTTTCACTTCTGGATCCTAAGCTGTTTTCTTGGATCCCCAGGGTAGAGGGACATACAGTAGCTGAATGAAGCTGGAGAAACTTGTCTCCTCTGGTTCTTTTGTGCCTGGTCCACCAGGATGGGGTGGATCCACCAGGATGGGTTTATATCCCACAGCAGCTCTTCCCTACTGCAGAAAACATTCATTTTGTAGTCAGGTGTTTCAGAGAAAGCGGTGCTGCTAATGCCAATACACTGAAATTAGCTTAAAAATTGAGGATTTTTGACATCCCTTTTTTGTTGACCTCTTGTCCTTTTCCTCATTCATTCTCAATGTCATCACAGAACCGCACACATCCTGTTCCCAGCCTGCAGTCGTCTCTTCTCTGTCATTCGTCTGTCACTCTCATGCGTTGCTGTGACACCCATGGCTGGACTGTGATTCTGTCAGCATTATGTGGCACCACATGGTTTGTTCATAGTGTTTGCTGCTTAGAGTGACGATGCTGCTGCTGCTGAAGTTGTGGTGTTTGTAGAGCACAGAGGCACAAATGGACAAGTTCTGCTCCAGGACCTTCTCAAACACAGAATTGTAGTGTGCATTCTCCTATTTTCTTTCTGTCATTGTTGAGATGGTTTTGTGCAACAGGAAGATACTGTGTTACGGAGCTTTATCAGCTTTAATGAGATGCGAGGAACCAAGCTAAATTACTATCAGCAGGTCATTTAACTTGTAGCTTTGCAGCACAGCCTCACACGTCACTGCTTCACATAGCAGAGCTGTTAGCTTAAGACAGAGAGGCTAAATCTGCAGTTCTGATGAACTGAAACATTCCCCGTGCAATTGAGGTGAAGCTTTGGAACAGTCAGACATGCCAGAGCCAGATGACATGATCATCACAACAGCGGCTGGGATTTGAGCCTCGGGCAAAAGATTGTGTTGTTTAGCTAATAGCTTTGCTTTTTGCTTTTTTCTCCCTCCTCCATGATTCAAAGGGAACGATTTACGCTTGGAACAGAAGTCTTTGTAGTAAAAAACATAGCTGGTGAAGGACACTGCGCTTGGAAAAATTGGCTTGATGGATGAGTCCATGGTGGAAACTGACCTGCTCCGGCTTTACTTTTTTGTAAAAGTAGCTTTTGCTGGGTAGTACCAAAATTCTCACCGGTGCCATCTGTAGCCAGGATATGAACCTGGCTGGTTTTCCTGACCCTGATAAAATCCCTGAAACTCCTGGCTGAAGGGAAGAGCTAGAATCCAGGTCCCAGAGGTGTGCAAGAGCGAGAAAATTTGTCTGCCATGGTTGCAGATGCCTGGAATAGGGCATCCGTGCAATGGGAACATGTCACTGAGGGAGGTGTCTCACCTCAGTGAGCTCTTTCCCCATGCCAGCTCCACGTTGTTCCTTGTAGTAAAGCACAAGGAGTATGTCAGCCAGCACCCAGCTGCTCCTCTAATAGGTCCCAGGCCATACAGGCGTCGGCTCTGAGGGATGCAGCTAGCTGGTGAAGCTGACGGAGCAGCAACTTCCAGGCCACAGGAGACCCATATCTGTTGTTCCTGGTCCACACCCTCATGAGTGTGGGAGAGTCTCAGCTGCCTGTAGTGAATGGTGGCACATGGCCTTCCTGGAGACCCACCAGCAGCACCCTGAGTGCCTCATGAAGCCAGAGGCCAGTGCTGAAACAAAATGGATGGAAATGTGTTGCTTTATACTGAGATTTTGCAGCACAGGTATGAAGAAAGCTCTACTGATGATGTTTTACATCTCCAAGCCAGGGCCGTCATTCTCAGCCCTTGTTTAGCAAATCTTTCTTCATTCTCTTTTTAAAAGTTAGAAAGAGATAAACATTTTTCCTAGCACTTTTGGTTTTTTTTATTTCCCAAAAATGCCTTTTCCTTCCCAAAACAAAAGGGTGAAATTTGTCTAAATATCCAGTTATCTGGAATGCTTCATTGCTTGCCCCGTGCTTTTTTGCTGAAGTCCAGAGTTTCTAACACCAGACCTGTTTCTTTTCTGGTTTTGAATTTCATTGTCTGGGGCTATCATATAGTCCATTCAAGGTTATTTAGTGTGGCATGGTGAGCACAGCAGCCACAGCATGAGTTTTGTTGCCTGATCTATATGAAAAAATATTTCAATGAATATTAAAGAAGGCACAAATCCCATTAACATTAACACGTAACTATGCAGGCATCAGGACATCTCCCATAGATGTTGAACTAAAATGCTCATGGCAGGTGTGCACTGAATCCTTCTCTCAGTCCTCCAGCCCCAGAGACAAATTGCTTCTGCTGATCTCAGTGGAGATTGCTGGATGTTGCCGTGAAGAGCATCTGCTCTGGTGTAGCCACAGAGGAAGAGGTGCCCTTGCCATGTGATTGCTGCCTAGGTGTAGTTACCCAGCAAGCGGCATCCGAGTGTTCCCTTGAAGCCTTGATTAATGTGAACAATTACCTCACTTCAGCATGGTTTGGATTTTGATGCAAGTGACTGACTTTCCTGGTTTGAAAGGCGGTCCGTGACAAATGGTGGTATTTGAGAGAAGCAGCAGCATGCTGCTTGAATTCTGTGCGTGCATCTCAGTTATCTGGTGCAATGAAATTAATAATTTCCTAGGGTTTCATTAAAGATCCATAACTGTAACCCGTTACTGTATTTCAACTGCTCCACTCCCTTTTCTTTGTCTCACACACTATCACTTTTCCATCCTCATTCTGCTTTTGGACTGTTTTAGGATGTCCTCTTCAGCACCTACATGCTTTGGAGCCTGTTTCTTGGTGGTTTCTAGCCACACCGCAGAGCTCCAGGGCATGCAGCTGCTGCAAGGAAAAGGCATTCTAAGTCAGAGCAGAGAGCCTGTGATGGGAGAGAGCATCACAGGGCATGGGTGTACGTGGTGAATGGGGGTTGCTCGGGGGCTTCTTTGAAGGCTACTGAGTTCCTGAGAAGAGGGATGTGCTGGAAGGGAGAGGAGAGTCGTGGGACTGTTTGAGACTAGTCACTGAGTTATGCTGTGGGCAAGGAAAGCAAGCAGCGTGTTTGAGCACAGAAGGGGTGAGTGAAAGAGGGCAAAGGTGCAGAGAGGCAAAAGCAGTGAAGGTCTCCTGCGGGGTGAGCAAGGTTGGGCCAGCTGGTCTCAGGTTTGGGGCAGCTATTGGAGACAGGCAGTGGATTGGCAGGAGGTCTGACTGAGCCCTGTTCTCCATCTCACCCACACACAGTGCTGGTTCCTGTGCAGCCAGGCGCATCCCTGGTGCTGGAGCCCATTTGTCATTGTGGTTTCTTCTCTCCATTTGCAGAAGCGGAAGAGCTCTACCAGAAGAGAGTTTTAACCATCACAGGAATCTGCGTTGCCTTGCTTGTGGTGGGCATCGTCTGTGTGGTAGCTTACTGTAAAACCAAGTGAGTATGGGTGGTTAGCAGACAGCACTGGCTAGAGGTTACGGAGTGGCCGTGATCATGCTTTGTGCTTTCATGCTCTTCACCCAAATGCTACTTTAAGGAGATGCTGTGCTGTGGTGTTCCCAGCAAGGTCTCATGAAGGAGAACAGTGAAGCCACCTAGCAGGCTGTGCCTGAGCAGGATGTTTTCCTGGGACCATCTGCTTATCCCCTGAATCAGCATCATTTCCTCCAGCCAGGTGATGCTCTGTTACTGAGTAAAGCTGGTCCTCAAGGCAGCAGCTCATCTCCTGACAGCAGAAGCACACTGGGCTGTTGTGCAGGAGCTGTCGGCTCAGCTATGTACATTTCAGGGACTTTCAGAGTTATCTTGATGGAACAAGATGCTTGGGGACCTCTTTTATGGCCAGCTTTTTCTTCCTGGGCAGCACATTTTTCCCTACTTCACTTGCGCCTCACCTCAGTCCAGGGTGCCCCTGGGACATGAGGGGTCTTGCAGAGTGGATGCCCTGCTATTGTAGGCTTTACCAGTTTGTGCTTAATGAAGGACAGGTCGAGTGCCTTGCCACCAAGGCCAAGCCAGGACCTGCTTCCCGGTTTCCACCTCCCTGCTTTTCTCCTCTGCTCCCAGCACCATGGTACCCCTGGCTCCACTGCATTGTGCTGAGCCTTGCCTTGCAAGAGGAGACCTTGGACCCAGCTTCCCAAATTGCCCATGATAAGAAATGTTCATCTTTTATAGCAGAAGCAGCAGAAGGTGGCAAGTGTTGAATGCATTGTTTCCTCCTGTTTGCAGCTTTCACAAACACCATTGAAAAAAGCACGTCTGATACTTGCCTTCTCTATCTTGCATCTTCCAGGTGTCTCTGGGGCAGAGAGCCCCATAAGTCTTCCTGATGGATTTTTTCCTTTCTGTTTTAAAGGAAACAAAGAAAACAAATGCATAATCATTTACGTCAGAACATGTGCCCTGCCCATCAGAACAGGAGCCTTGCGAACGGGCCAAGCCATCCACGTTTGGATCCCGAGGAAATCCAAATGGCCGATGTAAGACCTTTTGTCTCCATCTCGATGCATGTTACTGAGTTCCTGTTTTCTGCCAGGGATTTGATGTGGATGTGGGTGCTTATACACCTGTGGGCATGTGTGTGAGGAGTGAAACAGTAACAAACTTGAATGAAAAGATGAGATTCTACATAGAAACATTTCCAAAAATGATATCTGAAGTGAAAAGTGATTTTACTTTGAATGGCAGGGTGAAAATAGGGCACTTGGAACAGACTTACTTTGATGAATAAAATGTGATCCTGTTTGAGAGAGATGTTCCTGATGGTGCCTGTTTATTAAGCTATTGCAGCTGCACCCCCAGAGCATGAGCAGCACTTTGAGGAAGGGGATTCTCCCCCTCTGCTGCACTCTGGGGAGATCCCCCCTGCAGTCCTGATCCAGTTCTGGGGCAGCAGCACAAGAGGGATGTGGAGCTGCTGGAGTGAGTGCAGAGGAGGCCACGGAGATGCTGTGAGGGCTGGAGCAGCTCTGCTCTGGAGCCAGGCTGAGAGAGCTGGGCTGGCTCAGCCTGGACAAGAGAAGGCTCCTGAAGGGGAGACCTCAGAGCAGCTCCAGTGCCTAAAGGGGCTGCAGGAAAGCTGGAGAGGGGCTTTGGACAAGGGCCTGTAGGGACAGGCCAAGGGGAATGGCTTTAACCTGCCAGAGGGGAGACTGAGATGAGCTCTTAGGCAGAAGCTCTTCCCTGTGAGGGTGCTGAGGCGCTGGCACAGGGTGCCCAGAGAAGCTGTGGCTGCCCCATCCCTGGCAGTGTTCAAGGCCAGGTTGGACACAGGGGCTTGGAGCAAGCTGCTCTAGTGGAAGGTGTCCCTGCCTGTGGAAGGGGTTGGGACTGGAGGAGCTTTAAGCTCCCTTCCAACACAAACCAGGCTGTGATTCGATGATCAAATGACTACAGTGACTCAGTTACAAGGTTTGCTGGGTCACCCTTTGGATGCTAAAATTTAGCTTGGTTGAATCCCAGCTATGAAGGAAGAGGGAAAGGGAATTTCTAAGAACCACATCCCTCTGAACTGAAGTGCTGACTCCCACAGAGATCTCAGTGTACCTGTAAAAAGCAGTGCTTGTTGGTGGATGGAGCAATATCTCAGCATAAATATTTGGCTGATACCTGGCATTTCTGTGGGACTTGAATGTCTCACTGATCTCGTGTGGTTGTCTTTTTGTTGGTACTCTGTCGGGTGCATAACCTCTTTGAGCAGAGATGTTTTTCTGCTCAATAGCTACACGTGGTACCACTGTCCTCTGGGGAGCCCCTTGGCTCTTCTTACCCTTCTGCAGTCCCCATGACACTGTGCAAAGTGCAGGGGCAGAGCTCCAGCCTCCTTGTCTTTCTATGGTGTGTGAAGCTACTGGGTTCACTCAGTCCTCATCTGATTTCACCAGAAATAATTAAGCCAGCCAAATTTGGCTGTGGCAGCATGGCCGAGCTGATGTGTGTGATTCTACATGTTTTACAGTATATCTCTAAGAATGTTTCTGCCACTGAGCATGTGATCCGAAGGGAAACAGAGACAACCTTTTCAGGAAGTCACTCCTGCTCTCCATCTCATCACTGCTCCACAGCCACTCCAACGTCCAGCCAGAGGTGATGTATACTGTTTTCCCCTGAACCTTCTTCCCCTCTTTGCCTTAGGATGCTATGAGATTCAAAGCCAGGAACAGCTTTTTCTTTCACCTCCCTTTCCTGTTTTCACTTGCTGTTTGGCACTGTGCTGGCATGCAGGCCATGGTGACACTGCTGGTCTTCACTGGCACTAGTGAGTTAGTTAGTGAGAGGTGTGGAAAGGTGTGATTCTTGACCTGCAGCAAGGTGCCAGCAGGAGCCTGCAGCACTGACATGACTGTGAACCAGGAGGAAATGAAGTTGTGCTTTCCTGCTTTGCACAGACATGAATGGGAGGCTGCATCTAGGAAAGGTTTCGCAAGCGGGGTTTGCAGCCACACTGATAACTGCAATAATTCATTAAGCACACTCAGGTTGTTTCATGCTTGATGTATTTGAACTGTATGTCCTTGTGGAAGGCAAAGTACACAAAACATCACAAAATGTTTTGGGCAGTTCCTCCAAGTTAGGGTCTGAGTTGGGAGCCATGGTTTTTCACCCGAAAAATACCCACTCCTGTGCAATTTATCACAGTCCAGAAAGCTACATCAGAATCACAACCTAGAGATCACCCTAGAGAAAGTCCTGTGCTGGTTTGAATTTGGGTGCTCAGGTTCTTCCTCTTACACAGCTCTTGTGCTTATTCCAGTGACAGTGTTTCCCTAGCAGACCACTTGCCTTTGACAAGTGACTGGAGGTACAGCGGGGTCAGTGATGTATAGATCACGTTGCATTGACTTTTTATAAAGCAAAACATGTCCTGGCTTGTTTACTGCTGTAGCCCGATGTGTTTGTCTCTGTTTTCCCAGGAAGCAATGAATCCTTTCAGCTAAAGCTCAAAGTTAGCTCCCAGCAGGTTTCTTCAGCGTTCAGTCATTCATCAGGGATGAGCAAGTGCTCTCACGGTGCAACGTGTCAGATCAATTTCAGATATTGAACTTAGGTTTTCAGGTGAATTCCTCTGCAGAATCCTTTGGCTAGACCTCCAGCAAGCAGAGAGGGAGCCAAGAATGACTTGGAGGGCTGGAAATGGCTGCCTTTGTCCACAGAAATCCTATTCCTGGTGTGTTTTCCAGGGTTTTTACAATTTGTATGCTGCAGCCCAACCCTGGCTAGGTGTGTGCAAGCTTGAGCCAGTTGCACAGAGGCCCCTGTGCCTGCAGAGCTGCACCTTGCTGGCTTCCCATGCTCACTTCAAAGCCCTGGGACCCTGGGGCCACCTCTGGGAACCTCCTGAAGATGCAAAGGTGTGTCTGGAGGGCAGCATTAACCCATCACAGCTACGGGGAGGCACCTACCTCACATAGCCTCTGGTCCTGGCTACCTGCCACCTAATCTTCCTGAGTCAAGTGCAGCAAGCAGGTGTTTCTTGAAGTCATGCCAGAGGCAAAATACTGGCATGATCAGGCTCTGGTTTGCTCAATGCCTGCCTCTAATGAGGACGCTGTTTGAAGTTATAAATGATGTGGTGGTTGCAGCCAAGCATGTGCCTGGAGCCATCAATAATTAGCAAGTTCTTGGGAAGTCTTAATGAGGGCTGCTGTCCTCTGCACCCCCCACCCCCACCCCAAATCCTCTGTCGGCACAGCTCCATCTGCTGCAGTTTGGGAGTTCGGAGATTCTGCTGTAATAGACAACATATTTCTGCTATGGAGCAGGGTCAGCCTGTGGCCATAGTGCAGGTGGACCTCCAGTGTGCACGTGGCCCCTTGCATCCCCAGAGAACCCTTGTGGGATGTCTTCTTCGCACCAGGACTAGGGCAGGTGGAGCTCCAAGTGCTCAGGAGGGTCTATCCGCTGTATCAGTGTTTTTGTTTAGCACCTTGTGTTTTGCTGCCAAAATCTTTTATAAACCAGTGGAAACTGAACATCCAGACCTACCTTTGAGATGCTTTTCTCTGCTGATGGAGAAGCAGAGTGGGGTTTTTGGTTTTTATTGGCTCCTTTCTGGTAGCATTTCTGAAGGGGCTGTCGATTGGCAATGCAGATGGCACATCTGAAGATCCTTTGCAGACTTGCCTTGGCAAGGCCAGCGCATTGCTCCACACCCAGAACACTTCACAAGCGCAAAGGAGAATTGCCCTGGCCTTCCTCCAAAGGCTGCCCCATCCTATCACCAGCTGTCAGAAGGTGGTGTGATAAATACCTGGAATGCACTGATTTGCCTTTAAGCTCTGATCATATCTTCAAGAAGTAGCAAAAGCAACTCAAAGGCAGGGTTGGGAAGTTGGGCATCCCAGGCCAGATGTATCCTAGTGAGAGAGAGAAATGGGATGCCAATGCAGAGCGGAGTGTGAGCTGTACCTGCATGCAGCTCTTTGGAGAAAACCTTGGTGGGGATTCCTTGCTCACTGCCCATTTGGGTTTGGTCCACAGACATGAAAGCCACACCTGGAGCTTGGAGCGGACGGAGAGTCTGACTTCAGATTCCCAGTCCGGGATAATGCTGTCCTCGGTGGGAACCAGTAAATGTAACAGCCCTGCGTGTGTGGAGGCACGGGCTCGCCGCGGGGCCACCTTCTGCATCGAGGACTCACGGAGGCCCATGACACAGTACCGTGACTCGGTGGATTCTCTGCGGGACTCACCACACAGCGAGAGGTCAGACCCCACTGCTTGGTGCTGCTCTGGCACAGCAGAGGAGAGCCATCCCTCTGTGCCAGACACAAAAATGACTGCCCAGCAGTCCTGTGGTGGCACTGGAGAAACTCCAGCTCTGGTCCTACCAAAGAAAGCCGCTACCCCAGGATGCCACTCTGGTAGTGCAGCAAACACTGAACCCTGCCCACATGGTGACAATGTAAGTTTGAAACACAGGGGTGCAGTCAGCAACTGGTGAAGAAAACCTGGCTGAGAATACACCCCAGGCAGCTTGGTAGGCTGGCAGCTCAAGCAGGATCTGGCCCTCAGGTATATGGGGGAGAGATGTGCATCCTCGGCGTAGTCCTGGATCGCCTGATGAGCAGGTGTGCTGAATAAGCAGACACCCCCATCGGCGCTACAGAGAGGAAATGAAACGTGCTCCTTAGAAAGAGGTAATGCCGAAGGAAGGGCTGTTTGGAGAGGGGCTGGACCAGACCCAAGTTGTCACACTGATGTTCTCACTAGAGTAGATGAAAGAAGTAGATGCCTTTTAGAGACACAAGGTTTTTGTTGAGCTAGAGGAAGAAATGCCCACGCTTTCCCCATCTGTGGCTTGAGCAGGGGGAGGGCATTTTGGGCAGGTTCCTCAGATGCAACCCTTGCAGCTCCAGGCAGAACAGAAAGCAGCTGTCAGGCAGATGAGTAGCAGGGAAGTCTGCTGGGAGATGGTACAGGGTTTGCAGCAACACAGGATGGGAATTGCACACCAAGTCCCTTGGGAGAGGCAGTCCTGGGATGCATGGTGCGTGGTGCCCAAGCACCCACTGAAGCCAGCAGCTCATCCTCCCTCAGCACAGCAGTGCAAGGTCTCTCTGTCTGGTTCCACAGGAGATGCTGAGCTCCAGGACCATGTGCGTTGGAGCCCACACGGGTGCTCAGCAGAGCAGAGGCTCAGCTGGAGGTTTTGGGGTTGTTTGGTATCTAAACAGATGCGTTGCTTCTCTCAGGTACGTGTCAGCGCTGACCACACCAGCACGCCTGTCGCCTGTCGACTTCCACTACTCAATGGCCGCGCAGGTGCCCACCTTCGAGATCACGTCCCCCAACTCAGCGCACGCGGTGTCCCTGCCCCCGGCGGCCCCCATCAGCTTCCGCGTGGAGGAGCAGCAGCCCCTGCTGCGGCGGTACCAGCTCCCCTTCCAGGACACGCAGCGGTACGACAGCTACTACCAAAGGAAGACCTACCTAAACGACAGCATGGGGAGCCTGCCCTCCAGCCCCTTCCGCATCACGGAGGACGACGAGTATGAGACGACGCAGGAGTATGTCACAGCGCTAGAGCAGCCAAAGAAAACAGCCAGCAGCAACAGGCGGTGGAAAAAATCCAAACTGAATGGGCACATCCCTCACAGAGCCAGAGCCGTCCGGGACTCCTTCTCCTTCAGCAGCGCCTCTTACAGTGAGTCTGACGAGGAGCTGGTGGCCGAGAGCACGCCGTTCCTAAGCACTCAGAACAATGAGGTGGTGCACACAGGGTCGCCGCCGCTGCACCGGCCGGGTGACAGCCGGACTCACTACTCCTGCAGCAGGCACAGCGCGCCTGGGGAGAGCGGGCGCAGCAGCCTGGCGCACACGACGCCCAAACCCGACCCGGATCCTCTCTAGGCACCTCCCAGACTTGTGCGCCCACAGACACGAGCTGTGCGGAGGAGGCCGAGGAGGGATGAGACAAAACAAAGATAAATATTTTTATTTTATATAAAAGAAGGGAGGGGGGGGAGGAAATTATAACAAATAAAATGTTTTATTTTCATTTTAGCAAAGTTGTCTTATAATAGCTAACGACAATGACTTTTTTATAAGGAATCTCTATTTATATGTAATGTCTTGATTTACAGCTTCCAAGAAAAAAAAAAAAAGTTGAAAAAAAAAAAAAAGAAAACAAACAATAAAGTTAAAAAAAAAGTGGGCCAATTTTTGACTACTTAAAAAATAGAAAAACAAAACTATCGTGGTGCCTTTTTGCTGTACGCTAGTGCTGGGATTCATGCCGAGGAGTCTGTTTCAGTAGCATTTTTTAAGATCATATATTTTTGTTTGGGAGACAACCTGTCACAAGGGCGCTCCTCCGTTGGAAGAAAACAGCCTTGCCACTTTGTCCCGTACCCTGCTATTAATGATCTTATTCTTTAAGGTATTGTTTAAACACACGTCATGGACAGGAGTGGGATCATTACCATTATCATGTCTAATGGGGATCTGTCTTGCCCTGTAAGACGCTCGTGTTTTCGCTTAAATCAGAAGAAAAAAGAAATCCAACAGCACCATACTGGAATGGAGAAGTGATGCTTCTTTTGCCACACAGGTAGGAAGAGAAAACACAGTCGCAGAAGCAGCAGCCTTTACAGAATAGCTCTCAACCTTTGGCCATTTCACCCGTGGGTCTCAAGTTGGGTTGGCACAGGTTTGTCAGACAAGGCAGATGCCCATATGAACATGGTGAGATAATGCCCCATCACACAGGGTAGAGCCCAGCGCACTGCCCTGGCAGGCAGATGGCACGGTGTGGTGGTCCCGACAGAGCTGCGGTGCTGTACCAGTGCCATGCCAACTGCAGCATCCCCTTCACAGAGCAGTGTAGCTGCAGCGTGGTGTTGCCATAGGGCTGCCGGGGCTGTGGTGTCCCACACACCATGGTTCAGGTGGTTGTGGGAGGAAGCATGGAGGTGGCCCCAAGGCACAGCACGGCCAAGGCTTGTCCTGGTCGCTGTGCCAGCCGTCTGCCAGCCATGCTGTCTGGGGTTTGGTAGGTGCCAAAGCTCTGCTTGTCACTCCTGTGCTGGCTGGACAGGCCCCGCGTGGGGCAGCCCCAGCAAGCGGATTCCTCTGTGCCATGTGTTGTAAAAACAGTTGTTACCGTCACATCTTGCCACCAGTGATGGACATCGTGTTTCCAAGCTTGGAGCAGCTCTGGCCATCAGCTCTGTGGTGCAAAGAGACAGTCCTGCGTGTCCAGGCAGCAGAGCACCCCCGTGGAAGTGCCCCTCTCTCCTCAGTTCTCTGCAGCAAACCTGTTTACATTGTAGCCTGACTTTTTTCTTTTTATATTTTTACTTCTGCATGTCCTTTGCATTTCAGATACTGTAGATTGGATGCATGGTGAAGCTGTGACTGAGAAGATAATACAACAATTGACAGTGTATTATTTCATTTAACTTTTAGCAATAAAGTAACTAAACCCTCTATTCCTCACCCATGATGGGGTCAGATAGAAAACTCTGCTAATTTGTCATAAGATGATAGTCAAAGTTTGCTCTGGATTGTCTGAATGTCAGAATTCTCGACTGTTTAACACTTGAACATTTTTTATATTATAAATAAAATAAGAAATAACAAGCTGTGGGCTGCATTAATCTCAGGCACTTTGGGGAGCAAATGGGGAGCTGGTACCATACACAGAATCACAGGCTGGTTGAGGCTGGAAGGGACTTCTGGAGGTCATCTGCTCTAACTCACCTTCTCAACCAGCTCACTCAGATAGTTTCCCAGGACTGTGCCCAATCAGGTATGAGTATCTGCAGGGGTGGTGACACCACAAATTTGGGAAACCCCTGCCAGTGCTTGGTAACCCTCGAAGCAAAAAAGTGTGTTCTTGTGTTCAGGCAGAATCTCCTGGTTTTTAATTGTGTGCCCATTGCCTCTGGTCTTGTTACTGGGTACTACTGAGAAGAGCCCACCTCCTCCTTCTTCACTGCCTCCCATCAGGTATTTATACACATGGATAGCATCCCCCCTCCCCGAGCCTCCTCTAGGCTGAACAGTCCCAGCTTCCTCAGCCTCTCCCCACATAAACATCTGTAGAGACACTGAGGTGGGTGTTTTTCTACCTGGTGTGGACAATTGACTCTTGTCTGCTCTGGAGAGAGGTTGAGAGGGCCAGGCATGTTCAGCCTGGAGAAGAGGAGGCTCTGGGGAGACTTTAGTGTGGCCTTTCAGTACTTTAAGGGGGCTTATAAGAAAGCAGGTACAGACCTTTTGGTAGTACCTGTTGCAGTAGGACAGGGGGCAATGGTCTTAAACTAGATTCAGTGGAAGAAATGTTTTTTTTACAGTAAGGGTGTAGAAACACTGGCACAGGGTGCCCAGAGAGGTGAGAGATGTGCCATCCCTGGCAGTGTTCAAGGCCAGATTAGATGGGGCTCAGAGCAGCCTGATGTGGCTGAAATTGTTCCCATGGAGGGCTTGGGCTAGATGAGCTTTAAAGGTCCCTTCCATCCCACATCATTCTCTAAGTCTACCTGGGGCTGGCACAGCAGCATCTCCATTACAAGAAGGCTGCAGCTCCTGCTGGGGTGCAGCGCTGTGGGGTGTGCTCAGTGCTCGGTGCAGCTGATCCACACCAGGCATCACCATCACGATCTGCTCTCTGATGCCTTTGGAAAGGAGCTGTGGGTTTGCCCAGTGCTGTCCCATGCAGAGGGATGTTTTACTGCTCACTGGGATTTGTGATGCTTTGCATCTGCTGAGACACAGCGAGCTTTGAGCCATGGCAGCCTCGTGATTTCTTGTAGTGATTTCTTGTTCAACACGCCCCTTGATTCCCATAATGGTGTTCTATATTTGGAGGGACTTACACTACTTCAATTTTCTCTCCAATTGCCTCTAAAGGAAGCTTGTATCTCTCTCCTTTTTCCCTGACTGGTTTATTTTTAGACCCCTCATTTCCATCCATGCGTATTCCTAGGTTTTGGCTGTAAACATTTTACAGCAATTTTCACAGGTGGGGGCAGCCTCCTGCCAGCTCTATTCCACATGTATGATGCCTTTGCCACCCTTCCCAGGGGGGAAGGAATTGCTGGCACAGAGGGGGTGATGCAAGCAGGAGAGGAGCATCAGATCCTGGCTTTGGGATTGAAGAGCCTACAAAATGTATGTTTAAATTGAATTTGGTGTCGGGTTGTGTCTGGGAGAAGGGGCCTGACAGGAAGGTCAGGCTGCACCAGCGCTGCCAGGGCATGCTGTCCAAGTGCCAGCACTGCCTGCTGGAGGGGCTGGCACAGGTGGGGCTGTGCTAGAAAGTGCATTTGGGTACCTCAGTGAGAAAAAGATGTGGCTGCTTAATTCCTCTGAGATGCTGCTCTTCCCTCTTGGTGAATGGCTGAATAAGGATGGGAGATGGGAGGGAAAAAGGGAGAAAGAAAGCATTTTCTTCCTGGTCACAATCTGAGGCTTCAGGTTGGTCAAACAAGGCAATTTGGCTGCTCAGCACATCTCCACGTGCATATGCATCCAGATCAGCACTTGCGCATCAGGGCAAACTGCTGGTTGTAAAAAGTGCCAGTTTAACCCTCCTAGCTGCCTTGCCAAGGGCTGTTTAACACCGTCTGCCACCCCTTTCCACATTCATTAGGTGGTGAGTCTCATGGCTCTGAGACCCTCCCCTGGTGCCCACAGGATCACAAGATCTTGCTTTTCCCTGGAGCTTACTCCCAACTGAGAATGGCTGCCTGGCACCTCTAGCATGAAGAACTGAGCTGCCCTTGGTGGTTTCTTCAGACACACTGGAGACATCACTGCCTGCTGGAGGGGGCAGTCAGAAAGGACAGGCTGAGGTACAAACATTACCTGGGATTTTGGTGAGGATTTGGCTTTCCCCCAGGTTTTCACGGTGTGAGTCTGGGCACCAGATGCTTCGTGTGAGTAGCAGCATCTTGGAGGTCTTCAGTGAAAGGGATGCCTGTACAGTGCCTGACACAGCAAAGCAAATGATGCCTCAGAGAAACAGCCATGACACTCAGTTTAGTCCTGGGCTCCTCTGGGAACAGTTCCCAGGACATCTCCAACCACCAGTGCAGATATTGGCATTGTTCTCCTCCCATAAACCTCTGGGTTGCATGTGGACAGACAGACGTGGGATGCACCAGGTGAAGGGAAGAGTTACCTGAATGTGTTCCCAAAGCAGCCCATCTGTCCACACTTGCTCCATGGGTGAGCTATCCATCAAGAGCACAAGCAGGCCACTGCTTTCAGCACCCAGGAGGATGGACAGGCTGGTACTCACTCACGGAAAGGCACTGTGATCTTCCAGCATTGTCTGTCCATAGGAACCTGATTCCCATGTGGCACTGGTGGAGGTCTGTGTCAGCCCAGCCATTCAGTGCTGTGAAGCCTGGGACCAATCCAGTGTATGGTGGAACTGTACTTCAGACCAGTTCTCTTTACCAACAGATTCAGCTTTATTGTTATTCTTTTTTACATGATTATTAGTGCATCATTTCAAATAAACTATCAAACTGTACAAAGAAACAGAGATAAAAGAAGAGGTGACAAAGCTGGGCAGAGGTTTTTAGTGTCATGAACCATCATGGAAAACAGTAATCCATAGGCTCTCAAACGTTGAAGGTCCCAATAAATCTTATTTGTTTGTTTTAAAAAAAGCTGCAAAATATAAACCATAAATGACTGTAATTAGCAGCTACAAGATCCTTCAAAACTGGAACTTGATTACTGTGAATGCACCTAGGGGAAGGAAAAGCAATCTGAGATAAAGGACCAAAGCAAACAGTGAAATAAATAAATAAAGTGTGGGAGGACAGTCGTGGTGTGGAAATGCAGAGAAATCACTTCTAGCACAACAGTAAATCATTAGACCACAGACAGCAGAAAGGAACAGAAACACAATTCCCCGCTTAAAAGAGTATAGCATGTGCATCGCAAATGTAGGCAGTACGACAGTGATGGGCAGGTGGAATCACTCCTGCACATGAAGGTTTGGCTGGATTCGAAGCACGGCTCCAATCGTGCCTCGAACCCCAAGTGGCAGATGCCATGGATGCTAAATAAGCAGCCACTTGGGCAGTCTGTCTGAAGGAGCAGGAACAGGAGAGCGATGATTCACAGCAAAGCCAGGTGGGATTTCCATTCCAGTAAAAAAAGGAGGGGAAAAAAAGGAAAAAGGACACATAGGCTACTGCATTTCTTAAAACATCTTGGTGGGCTGGTCAGACCCTCCACGGTCTCTTGTGTCTTCCCCAGGCAGCTAGCCTTCACTGGCACACTGAGGTTAAAAACCCACATTAAAGTTTCCTTATATATATATATATATATATTTATTTATATATATTCATATGTATATATATTTATATATATATATATATAAAAAAGAAAGGATAAGGTGACAGAGGGCACTTCAGGCCTCTCCCGCCGCGGGCAGATGATGTGCCCACAGGCTGTGCTAAAGACGCCTCTCGCTTGGTCAGTGAGTGGCTCATGACACCCGTGCTGTCACCCTGCCGACCGGTGCTCCTCTCACGGGAGGGACCTGCTCCCCGCCACACCGTGCCCTCCTCTGGGAGCACTGCTGGTGCCACAGACCAACATCTCAGCTCAGTTTCCTGCACTGCCGAGCGCTGTGGACATGAACTGGAGGGGACTCCAGGGAGAGAAGGAGGAGGATGAGAGAGAGGGCTGGTGGAGAAAAGAGCAACCTGGCCCTTAGAGAACCAGCATATCCATTTGTTGTACAGGCTGTGGTAGGAGGGAAATAAAAGCCACTGGTGCTGTTGGAGATGAGGAAGAGATGGTGTGTCTATGATGCTGAAATGCCAGAGCATTGCCAGAGAGTGTCAACTAAAGCTTCTTTGATTTCTTTCACTAGAGCAATCACCGTGTCATACACGTCTATGGTTTTGCTCATGTAATTTCCTAGGTAAAATTGTGCTCATCAATCTGTTCCAGGAGCAAAGCATCGCCGGTTCATCCCGCTGTGCACACCTTCCTTGTTAAGTGTTCTGCTCTAAAATGTCCTTTTCCACCTTACAGCTGATGGACATGTGCCCTTGGCTCAAGGAAGGGCTGGAATGTGTCTTCCGCAAAGCAATGTCGTCAGCTTCCACCTTAAAGAAACTGGTTTCAATTCTCTCCAGGTCATCGGTCCCGACTTTTATCTTCATGCACAGCAGGTTGATGTATGTCTCATAGCGGCTCTTCTGCAGGGAAAGAGGGTACAGAAAGCCTGGGAACAGGGACAAGCTATGACATATGTGGAAAGCAGATGCAGTGCATGTGCTACTGTAGGAAAACCCATCTTGTATCATCGGGATGCTGTTATTCACACACAACAAGTACTGTTTAACCACAGCACAATGCATGGTCTATGAAAAGCCTGCAAAGAGGGATCAACACATCATTGAAAGGGTTGAGGAGAAATGGGAAGATTATGCAAGCCTCTCCAGTTGCTTTTAGGGGTCTTGACTGCCACTCTGTATAAGGTAGATACTGATGCCAAAATGAAATTAACAGATCTGCTCCTTCCTTATTTAGGAGTTCCCCTCAATTGATTCAAATGCTTCTGCTTGCCACTGTTCCCATCTAGTGATCCACTTACTGCTGATGAG